CATCTTACGAGCTGGAATTCGCGACGTATGCTTGTGCGACGTCATCGGGTAGCGGGTTCCGCGAACGGCCTTTGCCGCCGTACCACTCTTCTTCTTCGTCCGATTCGTCGTGTCGAAGAGGCGTATCCTGTCTTCCACGGTTAACAGGAACGCCGTCGGTTTTTCTTGATCTTGGAGGCGCTGGGAGTCGATGGCGTTGGCCCTTCGACCTGAATATCATACTGACCTGGTTTTGGTAAGCCACGGTCGTTTCCCACATTCTGCGCTTCTCGTGGGAAGAGAATCTTGTCAGCCCCAAGATGACCAACATGGTCGGTCATCCTTGGAACAGAACTTTCGGCTGATACCCCATCTTTACCCACCTTAAGCCCAACAGGGCCAATATCATCAGGATGTACAGGTCGTAGATTTAGTGTTCCCAGCATAGGTTCCAAGGAACGTCTTGGGCCCGAGGATTCCCGAGAGACCATGGCGGCCAAGAAAACGGCGAAAGCCGTAGAAGTATGAGGTTCGACTGTCCGTTAAGCGGGTAGGGAACGAAGGAGAGTGCGGGGCGCGCGCGTTATTTCCCTCCGGTCCCAAACAGCTAGGGAACGGTCAACTCAGTGGTTAAGTAAATGCATATATGTACATATGCGGCGGCAGGGAGCGTATGGTAACGACTCTTCCTCCTGCTCCTCCTCCTCCTCCTCCTCCTCCTCCTCCTCCAGCTCCTCCTCCTCCTCCTCCTCCTCCTCCTCCTCCTCTTCCTCCGCCTCCTCCTCCTCCTCATCCCTCCTCGCCCTTGCTATCCACATTATCCTCCGCGCGCGCGTTCCGCCCCGCTGGCATCCGAGGCCCACGCGCGGGAGCACGCTCAGGGGGGCGTGAAGCCGCAGAGACAGTCGGGGCGCAGGAGGCGAAGAGAACAAGGGCGGTCAACACAATGGTAAATCGTCACGTTGTGTGCTGGCAGTGTGCCTAGACGAAAATCATATATATATATATATATAATAATAAATGTATGTATGAATAAATAAAAAGGCGTGAACATAAACTGTTGGCGCTCCGCGCGGATGTCTTGGATCCGCGCTGGGCGCGGTGACAAGTCTTCTCGGCTGGCTGGTTCTTCGTTCTTCCCATCGTATTTACGGACCACATCCCAGAAATAATTCCGAGCACCCAGAAAATATCGACATAGTGTCGAACGAATATCGCCCCCCAGGGCCCGACACGTGAAATTACTTCTGGTGGTCAAGGTTTAAGAAAGTTGGAACGTCATAAGTCTGGTTGGCGATATAAATAGACGGGTGATGGCATCGTGCTAGTTGCTAGTGGCATTGTGTGAGGTAACGGATGCGAACGACTGCGTGGTATGATCACGCGTATGTTGGCGCAATGGTCAGTGTGGTATTCGAGTGCGTGGATTTGACAATCATCAGGCAGTCATTCAGGTCGCGGGGGACTTGTGGACTGAGGGAGGTCGGGGTTTTTGCCCTGTCCTCCTCCCTCCTCCACCTCCGTCTCCTCCTCCTCCTCCTCGTCTTCACCACCACAGACACCATCATCACCACCACCACCACCATCCTCAGCAGCAGCAACATCAACATCATCAGAATATGCAGTATCAGCAGCATGATCATCATCATCATCGTCATCATCATCACCATCACCATCACCATCACCATCACCATCATCATCATCATCATCATCATCATCATCATCATCATCATCATCATCATCATCATCATCATCATCATCATCGGCAGCAGCATCATCGGCAGCAGCATACAGATCATCATCAGCATAATCATACTCCTCATCAGCATCCTCCGCATCATCATCAACATGATCAGCATCATTTGCAGAATCATCATCAACAGCAGCATCAGCATCATCAACATTATCAGTATCAGCATCATCATGAGCAAAATCCACATAAGCATCATCATGATCAGCAGCAGCATCATCACCATCAGCAGCAGCAGCATCATCAGCACCATAAGTAGCATCATCATCAGCATCATCGTCATCATCAGCAGCATCGCCATCGCCATCGTCATCGTCATCGTGATCATCATCGTCATCGTCGTCATCAGCATCTTCAGCATCATCAGCATCATCAACGACAGGATCATCATCATTAGCAGCAGCAGAAGCATCATCAACTTCTTCTTCATCATCATCGTCATCGTCATCAACAACATCCTTGTGTTGTCATGCTTCTCCTGTTCCCTCTCCTCCTCCTCCTCCTCCTCCTCCTCCTCCTCCTCCTCCTGTTCCTCCTCCTCCTCTTCTTCGTCCTCCTCCTTCACATCTCCGTCCTCTCTTCCTATTCATCATCCTTCGCTTCGTCTCCTCCTTCAGGAGCCCCAGCCCCCAGTCCGACTCCTGCTTCGACAGTACAGCGGGCCCGGGAGGCCCGGCCAGGGGGAGGGGGGCGCGCGCGCGCGCGCCGGGATGGCGGCGGGCGCAGCTGCTGGAGGTGAGCCCGCGAGCACGTCCGCAGCGCATGGCCGTCGCGGCGCTGCGGCGATGCATCGCGCCAGGGGGCGCGGCGCGCGCGCGAGCTCGCGCGGGCCCAACGTGGAGGCGCCCGCAACGGCTCCTCCTCCTCCTCCTCCCCTCCTCCTCCTCCTCCTCCTCCTCCTCCCTCCTCCTCCTCCTGCTCCTCCTCCTCCTCCTCCTCCTCCTCCTCCTCCTCCTCCTCCTCCACCTCCACCCTCCTCCTGGGCAAACGAGGCCCCCAGCTCCCGCCGCACGGCACGTCGGCGATGCAGACCGATCTGGGGCACCGATCAACACCAGCCCCGTTTTGGAGGCCTGAGCAGCCACGCATCCTCGGCTTCTGGACCGTGGCGCCTTCGGCAGGCGCCCCCAGACTCGAATCGACAAGACGGATCGGCGATCGAAATGAATCGGATCGGCGGAAATCGGCAACCGAGTCGGGAAAAGTCGAATCGGCGGAAATCGGAAGGCTCGTATGCCTCCAAAACAAATTGGAACCCAAATCGGAATCCCAAATCGAATCGAATCGGAATCGGAAGTCATCGAAATCGAATCGAATCGAATCGGAGGAGTCGAAATAGGCCCTGTACCGATAGCTGCCTCAACTCGACGCATTCACCTGGACCCCGATCGACGCCGTCACCCTCGACGAAACCTTCTCGAGCAGCAATAACCAGCAAGCAACTGGCACAAATTCTCGTCGCACCATTTTTCTCACACGCTGCAAGATGCGAAGACGGCGCTGCCGTGGCACGCCGCTGTCCCCACAGCTGCGCCCAGTATTCCTGGCTGCATGGGGTGCGCGTGTCGAGTCGAGCGGAGTCTAAGCGGACTGCCAGGCAGCTCTAGGCACTGGGCTTCCCAGCGCGGCTCTCCCGGAACAGCCGGATGACTTTCTAATTGCGGCGGCGGGTGTTGCGGCGCGAGTCGTGAGGATCCTCTCACTCGGTCGGGCCAGCGCGCCGCGCCGCGGGGCAAGTCGCCAGCGCCTGTGGCAACGGCACCACCTCCAACACGGGCCCACCCCGACCCCCCGGGTGTGTGAGCAGCAGGTCCCTGCCGTGGTGGCACATCGCCGTGTGCTGTGCGCTGCTGACACGCCACGATCCTATCTTCGTGCCGCCAGAGATGTCCCAGCCGTCCAGTGTGCCGTTGGGCAGCAGCACTGACAGCGTCTCACAGGCTCCGTTTGCGCTGAGCTGGATCGCCCGCACTCCGGCGTACTCGCGGCGCGGCTCCGCCGCGTCGGGCGCGCACTCGCTGCCCGCGCCCGCGGAATCCGTGGGGGCCGCACCGCAGGAGGCACGCCTGCCGGAGCTTGGGCGGACGACGAAGCGGCGGCGCAGAGACCATGGGGCCCGGATGGACTCGCGCCGCATCTCGGCGACGGTAATGGTGGTGCCGTCCCAGCCTGCCAGCAGGGCGACCTCGGCATCCCCCTGTCGTGGAAGCCACGCACCTGTGACCAGCCGCCACTCCTGCGGCAGCGGCACGGCCTGGCCGGGGGCCCCGCTGAAGTACGCGGACCCCGTCGGTTCCAGCCGCCATGCCGTGCCTCCGGACCCCGGCGTCCCTCCCCGAGGCACCAAGGCTTCGCAGCCCTCGTCTCTGCACATCACGGAGTGCGCGTGGGGACCGCCAGACTCAGCCAGCGGCCCAAGGGCCGCCGCGTCGTCCATTCGCCTCGTGGAGAATAGAGCGTCGGGGCCGCTGAACGTGACGTGAGAACTATTGCAGTGCAGCGCCGTCACCTCGAAGAAGCTGGCTGGCTCAGGCCAGACGGCGCGCAATCGGCGGGCCTCTCCAGTCTCCTCGATGTTCTGGTCCTGCCCCGCCTTGAACTCCTCGAAGGAGGGGTACAGGATGTGTCCCACGTGCACGCAGCCAGCTATCATCCACATCAGAATGATTGTCAGCGTGAAGCGGCGAACGACGAGCCAGGGCGCGCTCTCATGAAACGTGACGGGAGCTCCTCCGCCCACCCCCTGTTTCAGGGTCCTCACACCCTTGGGGCCCATGGCAGAAGAGAAGGACTCCTTTGAACCCCTCCTCGTCGTCTCCTCAGGCTGGATGTCCTTGGTGAAGATGTCGAGGTATCCGACGCTTCGGAGCCGCTGCGGCAACATCTCGCCCTCGCTCGGGGAGATTATCCGCAACACGAGCATGAGCCACACCCCGTGCAGGAAGAAGCACGGCGTCACGCTGAAGCTAAGCGACGTCCTGTGCTGAGAGAAACGGTGGGCCCATAGCGCCAGAGTCGCCCACAGGGGCGCCAGCGAGTACGTCGAGAGGACCAAGACGAGGTCCCGCCAGCTGGCCACGCTGACGTCCCTGCTGCCAACGGCCAGGAAGCTGGCGCGGCTGGCGCTGGAGGCGTCGCTGCAATCGCTGTCCTGCGGGTCGGTCTCTTTCTCTTTCTCTCTGTCTTCACCGTCCGTGTTGCGCAGGTCGAGCTTCAGCAGCAGGAGCGCCACGGCCTGCACCGAGAACAGGCTGATCAGGGCCGAGCTCGGCCGCTTCTGCTGCACCGGCCCGACGATGAAATACGACAACGCCTGCAGCATCTGGTTGATCCCCAGAGCCATGCAGACCCGCGAGTAGGCGTCGAAGCCGAGCCAACCCTTGTGGCTGCCCGCGAAGCGGTGTCTGTGCTCCATCGTGTCGGCGTCCCTGGCGAGCGACAGCGGCAGCTTGCCGGCCCCTGGAGCGAGCTCGTCTCCCTGACCCTTGATGCCTCTGCCGTCTGACTCCGCCAGCGGCAGTGGGTCGTCGAAGTCCGACTCCGTAACGAACTTCCTCGGCACTATCGCTCGTCCTCGTGAGCGAGGCGAGCCCAACGGCCGGCCAGGCTGCAGGCCAGGCGGCATGCCCTGGCGCCGTTCCGCTTCCTCGAACAGGTCGTGCACGTGGCGGAAGACCGACGTGGCCTGACGCATGTACCTGAGGTTCTCGGGGCTGGGGACCGTCAGGCGGCTTGCATTGAGCAGGAACTCGATGCCGATGGCGTGGGCGGCCACCGAGGCGTGCAGCGAGAGCCAGACGGCGAACAAGAGGTAACCGATGGCGGTGATATTGCTGAGGAGAAAGATCTCCAGGATGAAGGAGGGCTCGGAGGCGTACTCCTCCTCAAGGAGCTTGAACTCACCGTAGAAGGCGACGCAGAACTGCAGCAGCAGAGCTCCAACGAGGTGGTACATCTCCATGCGGCCAAGAACCAGCTCGAGCAGATCTCGCACGTCCTCACGCTTAAGTTTCTGGCCTTCCATGGCAAATTCGTAGCTCATGATAAACCGGTCAAACTCTTTCTCGCCATGCTTGATAGTAGACTCCCCGGCAATATGCGAGGCTGAATCTAAAGCCAGGGCGGCAAGCCACCCGAAAACCATGGTTGCAAAGGATGGATGGTCCGACAACCTATGTTATCGAGTACGCTGGAGCATATGCAGCGCGGGCTGCCCCAGTCACCCCTTTAAAACCAATACTTGAGCCGACGCCGAGGAGCTAAACATGTAGTTTGGCGGGTTTCTCGAGCGCAATACGGGAGTGGCAAGAGGTTGCGGACACCCCCACTGGAGAAAGAGCCGACGAGTCGGACCGAATCGCATAACGGCACGTTCAAAGTCGAATGACGCAATACGAAAATCCGCCAGCCTTGTCAGCATGTGTGAGGGGAGATCTGGGCTGGTCGTCCCAGGGCGGTGCTATGAGAAACCTGTCATTCGAAGCTTTGCCTCCTTCCACAGCGGCCACATTTGGCTCTCCAAGCTCGCCAACCCGAGGTGAATCGAGCCGGGTCGCAATCGAGGCGTCAATTGAGTCGAAGGGAAGCCCCTTCCCTTTGATCCCTTCCCCGCCCCAAGGAAGGTTGGGGGGGGTCCCAGGTCCCGCCAGCATACCTCGAGGCACCTCTGTACTGAAATCTGTAAATCTCGAAGACGCCTACGGCGAATCACCGCCGCACCGTGCTTTTTCGGAAGCGCCTCTGTGGCCGAACGTTGCGGCCAGAGCTCGGCCAAGCTCTCGTGGAAGTCCTCCCAAAAAACACATAAGGGAGAGAAGAAGAAGAGGAAGCGAGGGAGAAGAAGGAGAAGGAAAAAGAAGAGAAGGCCTGTTGAGGCCCTCTTGAGGCCTCCTGGGGGCCTCCTGGAGCTCTACGGGGCCTCTTGGGGCCCTCCTGGAGACTCGTGGGGTTCTCCTGGGGCCTCTTCGGGACCTCTCAGGTGCCTCTGCGGGACTCTATAGTGCCTCTTGGCCTTTGGAAGCCGTATTGGGGCCTGCTTTAGGGCCGTCTTGGAGGTCTTCGGGGCCGTCTTGGGGCAGTCTTAGGGCCTCTTGGAGCGTCGGACGTCCGAAAACATGAGAACGCTAAACTCAATGGAAAGCCAAAAAGAAAATCAAGGATGTTGGCCTCCTGGAGGTCCTCTTGGAGCACTCTTGGGGAGTCTACGCGGCCTCTTAGCCTTCAGAGGCCCTTGGGCCCTCCCTGGGCAGTCGCGGGCCCTTTTTTCCACGCTGTAGGGTCGTCTTGCAGGTCTCTGGGGCAGTCTTGGGGCCGCCTTGGGTGCCTCTAGGGCTGTTTTGGACCCTCTTGGTCGTCTCACGAGCCTCTTGGGGGCCTCTTTGGTCGTCCTGGGGCGATTTGGGGCCAGATGGGCCCGTATTGGAGTGTCGGACGCCCGAGAAAGCGAGAAAGCTAAAATCACTGAAAAGCGTTTAAAGCAATAAAGGATTTGGGCCTGCCGGAGGTCCTCTTGGAGCCCTCGTGGGGCGTCCAAGGAGCCTCTTGGCCTTCAGAGGCTGTTTGGGGGCCTCCCTGGGCAGTCTTGCGTCCCTGTTTGGGCGCTTTTGCGCCGTCTTGGGAGACGCTGGGGCCATCTTGGCGGCCCCTTTTGGGCTGTCTTGGGGCCCTCTTGGGCCGTCTTGCCGCCCTCTTGGGAGCCTCTTGGGCCGTCTTGGGGCGATCTAGGGGACCTATGGGCCCGTCTTGGAGCGTCGGACGCCCGAAAAGGCGAGAACACTGAACTCAGTGAAAAACCACAAGAGCATCAATGTTACTGGCCTGCTGGAGGTCCTCTGAGAGCCCTCTTGGGCCGTATGAGGGGCCTCTTGGGCCACTTGGAGGACAGCTTGGAACATATTGCGGCCATTTGGCCGTCTTAAATGCGTCTAGGGACCGTCTTGGGGGCTGTCTTGGGCCATCTTAGCCGTCTTGGCAGCCATCTTGGCCGTCTTGGACGCCATCTTGGGCCATCTTGGAGCGATCTGGAACAGACGAATCCTTGCCGACCACGTCTGGGAAAACTTTCCAGGTGGCCAGAGGGATCGGTCGAAGCCCACTGACCTTTCAGGCATCTAGAACGCCAAGCACCCCTGTGATGAATCGCCAGGGGGGCGGCGGATGGCAGAAAGCGCGCGTAGTGTCGCGATCCAGTAGCAGGGAGAAACAACATAAGATAAAGTGAGGGGGTTGGCCTCGGCGGCCCCAAATGACGGAAAGAGCGCGTAGCGTCGCGATCCGTTAGCCGGGAGAAAGAACGATGGGGGAGTGGGAGGGGGTTGGCCTCGCGAGGCCCAGATCTACTGGTCCAAATTTCGAACATGTTCGGTCCAAGATGGCCCAAGTCGGCCCCAAGAACGCACAAGAGGCCCACAAGACGGCCTAAGACAAGCCCAAGGCGGCCTAACATACCGCCAGGACGGCCTCAGGGAGGCCCAGAAAGGACCCCAAGACAGCCGAAGAGCTGTCACCAAGATGGCCTCAAGAAGGCCAGAGAGGCCCTCAAGATGCTCCACGAAGCACCCAAAAGGACCCTCAACTGGTAAACATCGTCTCATTCCACTGAGAAAACGCACATGTTTAGCACATTCGCTCCCTTGGCCTGAACAGCGTCCAAGACATACCAAGAGGCTCCACGAAGGCCTGGAAATGCAATGTTCATTGAAACTCCTCCCCGCGCGACCTCCCAGGAACCGAAGAAAGAGGCGACGGTTGCACACTTCAGCCCCCCAGGGAGCCGCGAGGTCCCAAGTGGATCCCCGCACAACTCCACGTCGCTGGACCTCCCAAGAGCATGCGAAAGTGGCGACGGTTGCGCAATTCGCAGCCCCCCAGGGAGCCGCGAGGTCCCAAGTGGATCCCCGTACAACTCCACCCCGCGCGACCTCCCCGGAACCCACGACAAAGTAATAACTATTACACACTTCGCAGCCCCCCAGGGAGCCGCGAGGTCCCAAGTGGATCCCCGTACAACTCCACCCCGCGCGAGCTCCCAGGCACCAACGAAAGTGGTGACGGTTGCACACTTCGCAGCCCCCCAGGGAGCCGCGAGGTCCCAAGTGGATCCCCGTACAACTCCACCCCGCGCGACCTCCCAGGCACCAACGAAAGTGGCGACGGTTGCACACTTCGCAGCCCCCAAAGGAGCCGCGAGGTCCCAAGTGGATCCCCGTACAACTCCGACCCGCGCGACCTCCCAGCAGCCCGCGAAAGTGGCGACGATTGCGCACTTCGCAGCCCCCCACGAACCCGCGAGGTTCCAACTGGATCCCCGTACAACTCCGCCCCGCACGAAAGTAGCGACAATCGCGCACGTCGCCGCCCCCCAGGGAGCTGCGGGGTCTCATCTGGATCCCCGAACAACTCCACGCCGCAGGACCTCCCAGGAGTCCATGAAAGTGGCGATGGTTGCGCACTTCGCAACCCCCCCTGGCAGCCGCGAGGTCCCAAGTGGATCCCCGTACAACTCTACTCCGCGCGACCTCAGCCCCCCCCCCAGTGAGCCGCGAAGTCCCAACTGGATCTACGTACAACTCTACTCCGCGCAACCTCCCAGGAGCCCAAACAGGAGAGTTGGGAACAAAAATGTAAATATAGTGTCAGCCGTGCACCGACCTACGGCTGCAAGACATGCGTCGCAGAAGTGACGGAAAGAAAATGGGCGACACCTTCAACCAGGTACGGGGGGCAGCTGGTGGCCTTGTACGATTATGACGCCTTGTTGTTAAAATGAGGTCAGGTCACACCATGGAAGTGCACAAAATGTCCTTGGCCATGTTGACTCGCATAAAAAGGCAATCCAGAAACGTTCACTGTGTGGACCAATCCTGCAAGTCTTCATGGATCACATTGATTACTCCGCTAAAATTGCAGCAGCAACAGCAGCAACAACAACAGCAACAACAACAACCATTTTAAGGATGTACGCTCTTACTTGCCCGCGAGTCATTCAACACGTATACCCTACACCCTCGAAACCCGCCCTCTTTGTCTTCGATCACACCCCTTTCGGGGGGGTTATTTCTCTTTGCTGGGGCCGGCGGGCTTAGACGTACGGGCAAACCGGAACGGGCGGACAATCCTTCGGGGGCGTACATCTCTCTGCCCGCCATTGGAATTGGCGCGGGCCCTGCAAGAGGAGGAGGGGAAGAACGAGGGAGAGTGGGAGGAAGGGGAGGGGGAAGGACGAAGGAAGAGGGAAGATACCACGTTGTGAAGGCGTCCTTGGCGCGTGCGTGGTTCCTGAGCGCCGAAACGCAATTCCAGAATAATTTGTGAGGACGTCGCACGCGAGAGCGCAGTCCTGAGTACATTGTGAAGAAATCTCGGGCGGGAGCGGGGGCCCTGACTAAGTTGCGAGGAAGTCTCAAGCGGGAGCGCCGTTCCTGAGCAAATTGCACGGAAGTCTCAGGCGGGAGCGGGGGTCCTCACTAAATTGCGAGGAAGTCTCAGGCGGGAGCGCCGTTCCTGAGTCAATTGCGCGGAAATGTCAGGCAGGAGCGGGGGTCCTGAGTAAAATTCGAAGAAGTCTCAGGCGGGAGCGCCGTTCCCACGTAAATTGCACGGAAGTCTCAGGCGGGAGCGGGGGTCTTGATTACATTGCGAGGAAGTCTCAGACGGGAGCGCCTTTCCTGAGTAAATTGCGCGGAAGTCTCAGGCGGGAGCGGGGGTCCTGAGTAAAAATCGAGGAAGTCTCAGGCGGGAGCCGTTGTTGTTGTAGCCCGGGGGGCAGGGGCACAGTTTGAGCAGGAAGACTTTCCTTGAGAAAAAACAAGGTGCGAGCCCCGGGGGTGGCACTTCAATCGAAAAAAAAACAATGTGCACCGGTGGGGGGGGATCAACAATAATTATTCTTCAAGAATGAGAGTTCAACAACAACAACAACAACAACAACAACAACAACAACAACAACAACAACAACAACAGCTTAACATATACCAGATCCGCCACCGTGCCTCTGGCACGAAATGCAGTGCCCCAAGGCTCGTGCAGTACTGAGCAGAGGGCTGTTCTGCTGCTGCAGCCAGAACTGGGTAGTCGAAGCCAATCTGGCGCCAATCTGGCAGGCCCAATCTGGCAAACGTGGGCACTCTGGCGAGGGAGCCAACGCGAATCCGGTCTGGCGAATAACCCGAATCACCCAATATGGCCAGGCCAGATTGGCCCCTGGGGCCCAATCCAGTCTGACAGTCTGGCCTTCGACTGCCCAGCAGAATTGTAAGACTTCAGGGGCCCGGGCCGATCGTTTCCCGGGCCGGCCCGGGGTCTTCTGGGCTGGCCCGGGGTCTGCCGGAGTCGCCCGCGTCGGCCTGCCCCGCCCAGGAGGGCCCCCAAAACGAGCCCAGGATGGCTCCAAGAGGCCCCCAAGATGATCAAAGAGAGCCCCAAGCCACCCCAAGATCGCTCCAAGACGCCCAAGATAGCCTCAAGATGGCCGAAGAGGCTTCCAAGACGCCACAAGAAGCTCCAAGAGGCCTCCCAAAACGGCCCCAAGAGGCAAACATCATTGATGTTGCTAAGGTTGTTGAAGGATTTGGGCGTTCTCGCCTGGTCGGCTTTCCGACACTCCAAGACGGCCCAAGAGGCCCCGAGGACCACCCAAGACGGCCCAAGAGGCAAGGGGCCCGAGGGGCCCAGGACCACCCAAGACGGCCCCAAAAGAGACCCAAGACGGCCCCAAAAGGGGCCGAAATTCCGAGCCTTCCGCCCCAATAGGCCCCCCAGAGGCCCCAAGAGGCGCCTACGAGGCCCCAGGAGGCCCCTAAGAGGCCCTCAAGAGGTCCTAAGAGGCCCCCAAGAGGCCCACGACTCCAAGAGGCCCCAAAGCAGTCCCCGCGAGACTTACAAACTGCCTCTAAGAGGCGCCAACCCAGGCACGGTGGCGGGGTGGGCCTAAGGCCATGAGATATGCATTATAACGTCATGCATACTGGGAGCATCTGAATTATTGGCGTTGTGTGCTGGCACTTGTATGATGTTATGCTGGCCTGCGTGCTAGAGCATTTGAACAGTTGGTGCCGCTACGTGGTCGGATAACACATTGAGACACACGCAGCGCTTGTAGTGAGATGCACGACCTGTACTAGGAGGAAAAATTCGTGTCGACCAGCATGGCCGCTCCTCCGGACACGCTGCACAACTGAAATGCCTCCGCACATGCTTGTCCGCATTGGTCAGATTGGCGGAACAATACCCCAAGTGTCAATGCCGAGACACCCAACCAGGCTTTCGAGGCGAAGCTGCTTTAGAGAGCTTAATTCATCAAACCTCATTCTTACCCTTCGGGGAGAGGTTTGCCTCTCCCCATACGCGCGGATGTCATGGCAATGGACGCTCGAATCGTTCTATCACTGAATTACGAATGTCTTGAAAATACCTTCTGCATGAATTCAGCATGTTCGATACATGTTTAAAGCATAGTGCAGCACGATTTAGACATGTTTTAGACATTTGAAAACTATTTGGCAAGATGTCTCCTCTCCATTGTTCGTCTTCCACTGCCCCATACCCCCTTCCGTGGATCTGGAAAGTGGTAGGTCGCGGGCGGTTAGGGCGTCCAAAATAGCATAAGATGCACTCGTCAAACATGGTTTAAGATATCAAATATATCATTGCACCGACCTTGCAGACGTGCTGCCGCGGGACTTGTGCGCGGATTCCTGCCAAGGCCAAACCCCGACACGAGGACCGAAAGATAGCGTGTCTTCAGTCCTGGCCGGAAAAAATCCGCACGGCATTCACCTCGAAATCCAGAACGAACTGATCCAGGACAATCCGGGCCCATCCCATTGATAGGGGCCTCCTAGATGAGGATGGAGTAGATGGGGTCGGAGGATCGCGCCGCATCGGCGATGCATCCGCGACGTCGGCGATGCATCGGCGCCGTCGGCATGGCGAAAATCGGGGTGCGCATCGAGCCGCATCGCCGATGCATCGGCGATGCGGCGCGATCCTCCGACCCCATCCACTCCGACCCCATCTAGAGGCCTAGAATTGATTTCCGAACGAAATCCGCTCTGAGATGTGGGCGCCACGAAAGATGGCGTCAGATGGGCTCCAGGATACGTCTAAGAGGCCCAAAGACCGCTCTAAGACGGTTCTAAATGACCACGGAGCCTTCCGAAGAGGCCCCCTAGAGGCCAACATCTCATCAACAGCCGATGGAAGGTCAATGATGTTCGTATTCTTACCCGTTCGCCGTTTACTTCCGATGGGATTCTGAAGTCTCTCAAGATGGCTCCAAGAGGGCCCGATGGAAACCCGAGAGGAGCCCAAGAGAGCTCCAAGACGGCCCCAAGAGCGCCCCAAAGAACCCCAAACGGCAAGTTTAGGAGCTCTAGAGGGGGGGGCGCTAATCAGGAGGGGGCGCTTATTAAAGAACCCCCTTCTGTGATCGATGTCCTCCGACATTATCCCAAGAAGGTCTTCGAGACACCCAAATGGGCTCCAAGAAGGCCCAAAGAGAGTCCCAGGCGCTGTCAACCATGGTTTCAGAAAAGCTCCAAAAGCACCCAAGCCTCTCCACGATGCACTCCAAGAGCAAGCATGAGGCCATCAAGACGCCCCGCGATGACTCTAACAGGCTCTCGAGATACACCCCTGGTGGCCCAGGGAAACATCCAAGAGGCCCCTGGGTCCCCCAAACCTCCGAGTGATGCCACGATCCCCCGTTCAGGGCTACCTCTCTGGGCGTCGTTTCTGAATGGGAAGGTAGAGTATGCGAAGCATCGGGAATGTCACAAGGCACAAGGCTGCCCAGTATCGCCGCTGATGCATGGGAAGGGCAGCGAATGTGATTAGCAAACGCAAGACATACAGTGGAGGCCAGTCCACACGAAACCTTCAGCAAGAAACCCAACCCTGAGACCTGAGGACGCCCATGGCTTTCTGATGTGGCAGCGTCACGCTTTCCATAGCGAAACCGTCGACAGCCAAGAAACCCAGGGCACCCTGGAGGCAGGCAGGGTGTTTCTTGGCATGAGCCCCCACTGTACTTCGGCCGACCCCACACACAAAAAAGTCCCACTACCGTCGGAGTGAGATCTGTGCCTCTGCATGCGCATGGCACGCCCTTCCCTTCGGCGGCGCGCAGAAGAATCTCGACACGAAGGATGGGCACTCATGGGTTGCGGAAGAATGCGGACCCGCACGGCAGTACAACTCTGATGGTTAAGCAACTGTGCGATTTGGGGGGAACAATCTACAGCACAGGCACGTTAAATGACGTCCGGGCTTCCAGAAACAAAGCAACCATACATTCAGCACTCTGGCACGAACGCTGAACGCACTGGGGTAAAGATGAGGCTCGCTGGCAGATGCTTGACCGAACCAGATGGAACGCAAATGGTACGATCGTGCTAATACAAGAGGTAGCGCTAGATACGAGTATGAAAGAACACAGTGCGTCGCAGACGAGCGATAATGGTTTCGCTGCGGCGCAGAGCTCAGTCAACACACTGGTTCTGATGGCGAAGACGCGCGGTTGTGAACAACGCTTGTAATTGGTTGCCCCCTCCCGTCCCTCTTGATTCTCGAGTTAGTGTCTGTCATCAGCACGATGTCGAGGGCGGCGGGGAGGAGATATGGGGGAGGGTGGAGGGAGGAGCCGAGGGGGAGGAGGCGGCATCCTCGTCCTCGTCCTCGCCCTCGCCCTCGTCCTCGTCCTCGTCTCAGAGGATTCCTCTTCTCCTCGATGGTTGCCTTCGCCTCTCCTCTCCTTTTTCCTCGCTGTTGCTTCTCTCCCCTGCCTCGACACCTGGGGCCTGCCGCGCGCAGCCGAGCCTCGAGGCCAAGAGGCGGTGCCGTGGCCGCGGCGGCGCAGCCGGGCTCCCCGGGGGCTCACAGGGCAGGGCACGCAGCGCAGCACTGCCCGTTGGTCGTGCTGGGCTCGGACAGGGCCTCGCGGCGCGCGGCGGCCGCGTGCACGCAGCGAGCCCGACCTGGAGACCGAGGCCCCCCCCTGCGTCGCGAAGAAATCGCGACGGGAGGTGTGTCGCTGGTTTCGGCCTCCGGGGGGCCGTGCCGGGCCCCGGGGCCGTCGAAAAAAGACTCGGGATGAAAAACCTGTCCCAGGGAAGCGGTCCAGACCTCTGGGGATCGAGGTTACGAAAAAAAATCACGACGTCGGGGGTCTGGGGAGCAGAAAAACCACCCCCATCACTAAGCACCCCGACAAGCGAAGCCGTTTAGCAAACGCACCCGTGGGAGGAGTCGGACAGGGCAGGGCTGTTCCGTAA